TGGTCTGGAATATTCACGGCTTATCGTTATTGGGAAAATCATATTTTGTAGGTATATATTGATATAATATTCTAGAACTTGTTTGCGATACCTGTAAAGTTATAAATACGCAAGTTGCAGATCGCCACAGCATTAGTGTCGATTACGTTTTTGGAGCATATACGGTGATTGCCTTTATTTTAATTTTTTGTGTTTAATACCTACGTGTGGTTTTCCGTAAGTGACGTGATTAACAAATAAACAATATAATTTTAAATTATTTGTGTGAATTATGCATTTATCGGAATTAATTAATTCATTTTAAATTATAAATTGTAATTAATTCAATAATGGCTAAAAGAATGTTTGATGTCTTTAATATAAAAAAAATAAAAATTAGTTGTTACTAATCCCTCGTCAATAACAACACTAGAATCTGAAAATGAAGATTTAGATATTTGTTTAGACATTTATATAACTACACAAAAAAGTGTTGAAAATATTGTATATATAAATGTCACCTCCGACTTGGGAACTTTAATAACAGGCTCTGTACGACCAATTTTAACAGCAAATACATGGTAAACACTAAAAAATAGTTATTATATTATATTTAAATTAAATATATTGCAGTCATATCCATTAACTAAGTTTGGTACACAAAATCACTCATTCAATCATAAGTATAATAAAACATATGAATGTTTTGAATATAATATATCAAAAGATTCAATTTTTTGCTTTCTCTGTAGAAATTTTAGTACTGGAAATAGTGGCAATTTTGAAGATAGTTTTTTAGTTGGTTTTAGAAATTGGAAAAAAACATGTGCTTTGTATTAGGCTTTATTTATAATATTTTAATTATAATTATTAATATAAGTATAAAATAATTTATAGTTGAGTGTTTTTGGTGGATCTAAAGGTGGGAATAAAAGTAAACTCAATAAATTGGATGCACATGTTAAAAGTAATTTACATCTTACATGTATGGTTAAATGGTCAAAATATTAGAAAACAAAAGAAACTGATAGTGTTTATTCTTAAATATCTTCTCAGCATTCATTGATGGTAGAAAGTAATAAAAAATATATGAAAATGTTAGTTGATATGTTTTTATTTGTAAGTTGTCAAGGAATTAGTTTAAGGGAACACGACGAGACAAAAGATTCTTTAAATCAAGGTATTAAATTAACAACTAAAAAAGTAATAACAAATAACTAATATTATTAATAGTTTAAAATTATCTTAAATGTAAAATATCTAATTATGATAATTATTTGTAAAAAAATTAATATATTTTTAGGAAACTTTAAAGAATTATGTAAATTGTTAGCAAAAATGTAATGAGGAATTTGGAAAAAAATTAATCTTAAAATCAATTACTCAAGTCATATAATTCATGATGAACTTATAAATATATGTGCAGATGTTGTGAAATATATTGAAGACGTTGAGGTGTTTGGAATTATGTGTGATGAAGCAAGGTGAAATATAAATTATGTTTTATACATGGACTTCTTAATTTATTTTCATTAAATTAATTTATAGGTGTTACAAACAAGAAAAAATTACATTATGTGTAAGATTTGTTAAAAATCTAGATGTTGTTGAGAGATTTCATGGTTTTATAGATTGTTTTAAAAATTAAGATGCTGAAAGTTTATATCATTACATATTATGGTAGCTAAAAAAGTGTAAACTTACTTCTAAACCACAAATAATCGCTCAGTCATATGACAGTGCAAATGTTATGTCTGGGAAATTTAACGGTTTACAAAATAAAATAAAAAATCAATGTCCTTACGCTATTTATACTCACTGTATGGCTCATAAAATGAACTTCATTGTAAATGATATGTGTAAATATATAAAGGTAATGCATATTTATATACATCTTAGATCTTCATGATTTTATTTATTACTTATATTAATATTAGGAAACAAGGCGTGTGTTTAACACACATGAAGAATCACTGTAAGTATATTTTTCTCATTCGTCAAAAAATCAAAAATTAACTGAGATTTAAACTAAACTAGGAATCAAACATACGATAGTAATCAGACTTAGGGACACTAAATAGAATTGCCATTATCGAAGTATAGAGTCTGTTAAAAACAGTTATAAAGTAATTATTCAAGGTTTAGAAGAAGAAATTGAAAATTAAGATGATAGAGGAGTAAATGAAGCAATTGGTATAATATAATAAGTAATAATTGATTCAAAGTATTTAAATTAAAATATCTTTGTGTTAGGAATATTAAAAAATTTAAAAAGTGGACAATTTATAGTTTATTTATTTATCTTACATAAAGTATTAATTAATATTAATATTGTTTCTAACAAATTAAAAAAAAAAAAAATGCATCCTTGGGGGAATCTAAAAATATTATTGAAGGTGTGATGACTTTTAAAAATTCTAGAACAACAGAGTGTTTTTTTAAGCTTTGGTGTGAAATAGAAATCTTTGCTAAAGACAATTAAATATCAAAACAAACGCCATCTAAAAATAAGACTTAATAAACATATTATATTTATTTATAATTATAATAATTTTAAATTAATATTTACTTAACTAGGATGCAAAAGAAAAAGACAAAAGCCACACAATTTTAAACATTTTGATACTATTGCAACCACAAGTGCTGAAAAAAATATTAATGGCACTATTGAAACCATTGAAGATTATTTCAGAAAAAATGCTTTCTTTCCTGTATTTGATAAATATCTATCTTGATAAATCTGGAAAAAAGATTTTTTACTGAAAGCCTCCAAATGGCTACAGCTGTTGATCAATTTTTTCAATTAAACTTTGAGGAAAGTCTTTTTTTTGTAGATCATTATAAAGTAAGTATTGTATCGGTTTTTGTAAATTAATTTTTACTTACCTATGCTCTAGATTTCTAGTTTTATTAAAAGTGAACCTGTATTTTGTATATTTTTCAGGAGTTGATGAATGTATCTAAAGATGTATTAGAGTCAGAAATAAAAGTGGCAAAGAATTGTATATTGCAGTCTACTGATGAAAATTATATAACTTTAAATTATGTGATAAACGTTTTAACAAAAAAGACTTTCCTTAATTTATATAAACTATTTCAAGTTGCTTTAACAATTTTTATAAGTTTTTCCACTTATGAAAGGAGTTTTTTCGGCCATGCGTAAAATAAAAACTTGGCTTCGAATTTCTATGCTGCAGGAAAGGTTCAATAACACCTCAATATTATATATTGAAAAATAAATTTCTAAATATATTAATACTGAAACAATTAATATATTTGTACAAAAAAAATAGTTAAATACAATTGAAATAAAAATAATTTAGCAGCTATTCAATATTTTATTTTTTTTATGTTCCTATTACCTATATATACATTTGGTGCCTTAGCTAGAACCAAGTAAGAGTAGCTACTACAGTTAGTAGATGGAAGCGTCGGAAGCGACTAAAAATATTTATTTCCGCTAATGAATGAGACAAAAAATTTCAAGCCTCCCATAGATGAAACCAAGTATCCACCTATGAGCGCTACGCGTCTAATGAACGAAAACGGTACGTGAACGATAAATAAGCAGGGCAGGCTCAAGGTATTGGCGAGTTAGGCACCTGCCTAGAGTGACACTTTAGTAGAGGTGGCATTTTCAAAATTGACGTGAACATTTTTTTAGTTCTATTGGTGTTTTATAAGAAAAATATTTAAATTAGCTCATTCGTGAAAACCACTTACTTATAAAATAAAAAATAATATTGTCTTAAGTTATTATATTACTTTATATTACGGCCAACACTGGGCGTTTTCAATTATTCAAAAAATATAAATAACCACACAATCACTTCCGCGATATTCCATAGTCGTGATAGTGATGGGTTTTGAGTAATAGTAATAGAAATCATTTTTAAGTCTTTTTACATCAGTGGCGTAGCCAGGATTTTTAAATGGGAGGGGGGGCTAACCAATTTTTTTGAATAAGTAAGGTAAGAGAGGATATGAGAATTCACCCTTAATCCCCCCCCACCATCTACCACCAAGTTTCTAAACGTAATTCAAGCATTTTAGTATAGTTTTAAAAATATTTATTAATATATAATTTATAATAATAATAATAATTTTGGTTTCAGTGTTCAGTCACTTGCTCCACTCTGACAGCTGCATTCTCTTAGGTGAATTTCTGGCAAATTCAGTTATTATTTTACTTTCATCGAATTTTTTATTTATATTAGCCATAGCTAACCCATTCAGTCTGTTTTTTCGACATGGTGCTTCTTAAAAAAATTTTTAAGCGATTAAGTGCTGAAAACGTTCTTTCCGGAGTGAAAGAGGTAACTGGTAACGTGGCGAATAATTGTAAAAGTATTTTAATGTTAGGTCGAAGATTGGTGCGATGAGAGAGTGAATCAAGAGCAGAATTCGGTTTTGGAATAGTATTTTGACTCCATTGTTGCCTCCATATGAACAGGTCAGCTCTGATTGTAGATGAGGTATCATCATGAAGATCTTGGACATATATTTTAGCAGCTTTTATAATATTTTCATCGTCATACATATTTAAATTGGCCGGAATAAGTCCTTCAAGTGGCATAACATCAATATGCCTTTGATTAAAACGAGCATTGATTCTATTAAATAGTCAAGATACATTATACATATAAACACGGTCCATGGGGGAGGCTATAGCCCCATTAGCCCTCCCCCCCTTGGCTACGCCACTGTTTTACATATAATTTTACCAATAAAATAAAAAAATCAAACATTTTTTTTTTTATATAGATATGTCACATAAAAATAGGGGGAGGGGCTGAGTTAAAATAAGAGCTCAATTTTTATTTTTAGAAGTGACACAATTTGATTTTGCCTAGTGCACTACTTTTGCTTGGGCCTGTTCTGAATTTATGCGATTCGAAACGTACAAACCGAAGGCGCTGAGATATGTGGAAAACACACCGAGCACGGACACGTTTTCCAGTAGTTTCGGGTTGAACTCTGTACGTCTGGACGTGCCGACTCCGGGCGGCGGCGGCGGCAGCGATGACTACACCGCTCTGTGTCGGCGGGTGGGCATCGGTTTCGCCGACAGTTGGCCAAACGTCGCGTAACGCAACGCACGTACTTCCGACTACCGCGACCCGCAGCTATTCGTGTACTCGTGCGCACGTGCCGGAATCGTTTCGAAAAAGAAAATCGAAAAAACCTAAATACAAGTCCGCCGTTGTTTTCCCGTACGATATCGTTTGACTGCGTGCTAGTGGTGTCCGTTTTTCCGCGTATCGGTTGACCGACCGACCCAGTGTTCCAGCCAACACCGAAGACCAAATTTCCGTTTCCAACAGACGTTTCGCCGCTATTTAAACGGTAAGTTCACACCTTGTCTCGTGCATTTTATACTGCCGAGTATGTGTGTGTGCATCGAAAAACTGGAATAGTTGTTCAAGGCACCGAAAAAGTCGTTCACGATCTCTTTGAAACAACGGTTGATTGTAAAAACATCGAATAATATAATCGTAAACGCGCAAAAGTAATCGCCCGCACCGTCAATTTTACCGTCATAGTATTTCGTATCATTACAACGACTCCATTTTATACTATTCTTATGAAATGTACACTAGTCGAAAAACCTCAAATCGAGTCACATAAACGGTTACGTAGCTGTGAATGTTACACGGTAACAGTAATTATGATTCGGAGTTTTAATGTTATGATCGATTTTTCAATATTCCAATCTACAGATTTTCAATGCGATTACCAACCGAAATGATATGTTATAAAAATAGTTGAAAATATATAATTATTTCCAATTAAATGAAAATCATTAGTTTCGTATTTTCACTCTTTGGTCGATTACATTTTTTTGATACTTCTGTTGCATTTGGTTGAAATTATATTGTTCATATATTTTCTGTTTGTGTTTTATCCCCCCTGAAATCTGAAATCATAATTTATATATTTGTAAATGTTAACCGGCAATATGGATAATTCAGGTATTTTGCAAAATGTCTAGGCATTATGAAAATTGCCAATCCGGTTTAGGCAATGTAAATAAAACATATAATTTTCAATAATATTTTACATTTAACCTTTTTTTTTAAAATACCTAGGCATTATGCAAGATGCCAATTTTTTTTTAGGCAAAGTACAAAACATTATATTATATTTTATATTACATTAAGATTCTTATAATTACTATATATATATATATTATACTAATATACAACCTGTACAGCAAAAAATACGTGAAATATATGTTTATTATATCAATTCGGTATACCTAATATACGTAACGTTATATACCTATAACGTTACGCACTTATAAGTATAATACGTTGTACGTAAGTTTAATAAGTGACAACATAATATGTATATATAAATATATATATATATATATATATATATATAAGATATGATGAAATAATAATAATTGATAACACGAATCTGAATAATATATTTTCCCTTTATTAATATTAACAACACAACACAACTCAAGGCACGATCACTGTGGCCATCATGCTGAAGAACAAAACAAATTATATCAATACTAATAATAAAACAAGAGGGTGGGGAAATCTTGCCGTCTTGGTAGAAAACCCACATATATTAATCCATCAAATGTTCATAGCAGATTCCTTCCTGTATTAGCTCGAGCGGCTTTATTTTCACCACTAGCAATGGATGATTTTGTTTACGGTACTGTCCATCAAGTAAACGTGTACACTTTCCCCAAAAACCTGATATTATGCCCGTAATATTATAATACTGTGTACTGTACATTCTCGTGTATCGCTAGACGTAAATAATAATGCATACATAAAAATTGACTCGTTGAATACGGTCAATAACTTGGAAACTTGTATTTTTCGCATAACAAATATATTATGTTCTCTAATGGTCGTCTAGGTAGACGGATAGTTACATATTATTTTATTTTATTTTTATCTTAGAACTTTCAGTATAAACTATTATAGTTCAACAATCATATATTAATAAAATAGTATATAGCACAACAGTTAAGTAAGTACATAATTTAAATATAACAAAAGAAAACAACAGCGGAACAGAATATACTGCTGATACAAATAATAATAAAGACAATTTCTAGTCACGTAATATGTAACAGAAAAAATATTTATGAATACAATATAAATAAAATAATAATTGGATTGTTAGTTTGCATAAAACAAACGGATAGCGTGTATGTAGATTAGATAACAATATAAATAAATGATTTATGATAATTAAGTGCAATAATAGGTGAGATTAAGAAGTTATGATATAATAAAAATACAATTAGGGAAGAACCGTTTTAATACGACCTCCGTAAGGAGAGAGATTAACAGGCTAATTAGTGAATTTAAATTATATATAAAATTGGATAAAATAGACGAGATGGTTTTAGCTGGAGAAATATCAGAACTAACTGCTTCGGCATAGGATTTGGGTTTTGTCTTCAATTTTGAAAATGATCCTGGAATAGTAGTTGCTGGAGCTATTATAGGGGTCTTCCTATTTACTTTGGAGCGTTTTGACAGTGACTTAAGAACAGGAAAATCTTTGAAGTTAGTGGTGTGGGCACCCTGGCAAAGAGCGCATTTGGGTGGACTGTTTTTATCTTTGGTACAAAATCTTTGGTGCCATGATTCTCCCCACACTTGACGCAACGAGGGAAATGACCACAATAATTTTTTGTGTGCCAATAATTCTGGCAGGTATGACACTGGGATAGTCCATTCTTGGATTTTTTAGGTTTTTCAACTTTGATAATTGTGTTCAATAATAAAGACAATTTAAAAATGTCATGATTATTGTCGTTCGGAGTTAGGTCTACTAAGAAAAGAGGTAGCGGGAGACCATTATTTAGAACGTTTTCAACTCATCTAACACAGAAGCCCAGGTCACCTAGAGGTTCTGAGATATCCCTGATGAGAGTTATATGGTGAAAAGTTTTGATAACGACTCTATAAGGTCGAAGTGGAGAAGGGGCAAATGTGTGATAGCAAGCATCCGAGCTTGCCAGATGTTCGACGATAGCTCCATTTGAACGAATAATTAAAAATGAAAAAGTTGACTTACAAGAGAAACCATTTACACTAGTGAGACGTATAAGCGTATTTTTGAGAGCTGAAAAATTAACTATAGAAGTGTTTTTTATGTAGATTGGTAGAGCCTGAGTTGGAATTTGTTTTTCCCTCAAATGGAATGAGTTGCTCGCTGTCAATAACCGTGTTGGTTGAAATAAGAGTTGGTTCAACGTTGTCATCCGCGGTCGCTAAAAGAACATAGCGATTTGTTGAGCAAAAATTTTAAGTTTTTTTCCCAAATGAGTTGGAGTCGTTGGTGAGTTTGAAGAAAACGACAACAAACGTTTGGTCGATTTTTGTTTAGACGGAGAAAGAGAACCAGAATGAGACACACTGCGATTCTTATCATTGACACTAGGACCCGACATAGCCACACGTTCGTTATAAACATGGTGCGAACATTAATAGAATAGCGATTACGATTAGATCTACGACATGGTGAAATCGAGATAATGGGACGTGTATAATGACAGACGTGCGTTCACGCAGAGGTACAACGCCGAACTAAACACAAATTATTTAAAACACTTAAACTCGATTTGAATACATTGAAAAACAATCCTTATCTACAAAATAGTGTACAGCCTTCCTTTTTTTTTTAACAATTTACAAAGGGAAATTACTTCACTTCGCCGTTCGTAATATATAAAAATAAATCATAAATATTTTATCAACCAACTTTTTGGTACAGTTTTTCAAACAATTATTCATAAGAGTCCCAATTTAAAAAATGTATTAAGTTAACAAAATACTACTTTTTTCTCCAATAACTATCGAGTTTTTAGTCATTATTATTATTTATCTTTTACAATAATCTAAAAACCATACATTTTTCTTGTTGTAGGTATACATAAATATTTATCTGAAATTGCAAAGAAAATGTTAAAATGCATGTTAAATATCCTATGAATACAAACATAAATATAAATTAGGCTGCTATAATAACAATATTGTGTTTAATAATTAGCAATTATTCATACTGTGTCATTAGGAGTAGGAATTAGGAAATAAGAAGTAAATGTGATGTAGCATAAAAAAAGTTTCGGTTTTGCGTTCCGGTACTGTTGTCAGCTGCGTACACTGCACATCCTTTGCTCACCACTATAACATGCAGTTAAATATATTCGTGAAATGTGATTTAACAGTGCACGGAAATCTGCGAATATCAATTTTTATTTCATTACTTGGTATAACATTAACGACTAAGGTTATTAGTTTACAAGGAATCATAATTTCTACATACTATAGAATTGCCATTAATTTTTATGTAGAATTATACGTATCGGTCATTTTAAGAAATAAGATGATTTGTACAGATCCCTTGTCAGATTCAAAGTAAACCGACTATTTCCGTTAATACCTAGTAACGCTTACGCAAACGTTTTAAGTAAAGTCGATGTTATTCATAACTGCGGTCTAAGACATGCAAGTGGGAAATTTTGTAGCAATTGAATACCAAGTATCTGAACCAGTACTGGGGAACCACCACTCCGCATTCGTAGAATTAGACTATCGTTGAATTACGTTTCTCGTATTTTGGTATCGCCGGAGAATGCAGCGTTGCCATTTATCAAAAATGAGTGCTTTGAACATTTTCAGTTATTAATGTGATGAGTTGAGCTCTAATGTTTATGATTTGGCATATTTTTTTTTGCGCAACCAGAATTATACCCTAGTATAATATAAATTCGGTTCATGAAATCTCGAAAGATGTAAACAAATATGCAAACTTGTTTTGCATATTTTTTTTTTGCATATTTGACATTTTTTAGCATATAAAACCATATATCGATTGTTTCTAAATCAAGTAGCAAACATTTTATAAATTATAAATTTTTTTTTATTTTTTTTTTATAAGGTATATACAATCTGTTCTTTTAGGAACAATAAGAATATGTGATATTAGAAAAGGATAAGTTTAACATGAAAGCGTGATGGGAGGAGTCACCCAGTGGTTACACTGCCCTTAATTGTTACATTTTTTTTTTTTTTTTTATATAATGTTTAATTATTCATTGAGAAGATCTCGACATCATTTCCTTCTGAGCCTCCTGGAATTGTGAATGTGGCAAGGTTTGAAATGAGGGGGTCGGTATGAGAAGGGATTTTTGAGTGGAAACGTTTGTAAAAGGTTACTGTTTCTTCGTAGACTGTTTTAATTTTTAGATCGGTGTGTAAAGTTAGGTTTGAAATATATAGAGGATAGTTTGTGATTTTACGAAGGATGTTATTTTGGAAGGTTTGAATTTTATTAGTGTTGGATTTTTTGGCATTGCCTCA